AACTTTGTAGGAGAAAATCTAATATTTTTTTTTATAAATCATTTTTCTCTGATTGTAATTTTTCTATAAACCATGCTACAGTGTACAAAGAAAATAAAATCGTTCGAAATTAAGAGAAATAATTTTTTTGTAACAGATAAGTTAGTTTGATAATACTATATTAATTTAATAAAAAAAATAAACTTATATTTGCGTATGCGCGTCATATTGTGTATTTTTTATTTTTTTCATTCTACATAATGTTATTTGTTTTGAAATATATTCTTTATGAAAAAAATATAAGAATACCGTTATAGATAAAAATGGTTTTTATTTATATTGGTGCTATCATAAAAATATAAAAATAAAAAAATAAAAAAAAAATATATATATATATCGTATTTATAAAAAATTATTATTTAATATTATTTATTTTTACGTTTATATAAAATTATATCATGCAAAATATAATTAATTGATATTTAATAATGAAAAATTTCTTCTATTTTATTTTTTTCACTTTAAAGTTTCATGAAATAATTTTAAATATCATCAGTTTTACCGCCGACAGTATTGTATTAATCAAAACCAAGACCCGAGATAGTTTCAAGTAAGTGGAATCATAGTCGATTTGAAAGTTAGTACAGTGAAAAGTAACATAAATGCAGTTTATCTCGTGTAACTTGCGACTTGTTTGCAAAAAAGTCACACATAATATATGCAAACATAATACGATTTATAAACAGTTACTTCGAAAATTTATTATCACTGCTAGGTTAACTGACTTCAGTAAGTGGGGTACGAAAAAAAAGGATCGTAAAGTGAAAATACAAATTTTACAGGATATGTCGGATCCAAAGATTGAAGAAATCTTGTCTCCCCTTCGAGATAGTGTGAAGGAACAGGTAAATACCATATGGATAATCATTATTTATTGTTAAATATATTTAAAGATATAACATATTTTATATTTTGTTATCACAAAAATCATAGATATGTGATCTTTCTATCATATATTTCAATAACATTATTGAATTTTTAAATTTTCTATTATTATATATGTAAATAGATTGTTAAATATTAATTTTATTTCTATTAATATTATACAATTTTATTATCTTATATATTTCTAGGGTGATTATGTGCGAAAACTTAAATTTGATGGAGCTCCAGAATTGGATATTAAAAAAGCAGTTGTTGAGCTTAAACTTCGAAAGAAATTATTAGAAGAGAAAGAATTGTCTTTCTTAGAAACAATAACATTTGATAGAGCAAGAATGGAAGATCTCTTGAAACGTAGATTTTTTTATGATCAATCCTTTGCTATTTATGGAGGAATTAGTGGTCAATTTGATCTTGGTCCTATGGGTTGTGCATTAAAAACAAATTTGTTAAATACATGGAGAAGTTTTTTTATATTAGAAGAACAAATGTTAGAAGTAGATTGTTCTATTTTAACACCAGAACCTGTATTGGAAGCATCTGGACATGTAGAAAGATTTGCAGATTTAATGGTAAAAGATGTGAAAACAGGGGAATGTTTTAGATTAGATCATTTGATTAAATCACATTTAGAAAAAGTGATTAGTGATAAAAAGACAAATGAAAATACAAAAGCAGAATGTAAAAATATTATTATTAGATTAGATGGAATGACTAAGGATGAAATGGCTACAGTTTTATCTAAATTCAACATAAAATCCCCAATTACTGGAAATGATCTAACAGAACCAATAGAATTTAATTTAATGTTTGGAACTCAAATTGGTCCTTCTGGACTTGTGAAAGGATTTTTAAGACCAGAAACTGCTCAGGGTATTTTTGTAAATTTTAAACGATTACTTGCATTTAATCAAGATAAGTTACCATTTGCTGCAGCTCAAATTGGAAATGCATTCCGTAATGAAATTTCTCCTAGATCTGGTCTATTAAGAGTAAGAGAATTTACTATGGCAGAAATAGAACATTTTTGTGATCCTAATAATAAAAATCATCCCAAATTTGAAACTGTAAAAGATCTAAATGTATTATTACATTCTGCTTGTAATCAAATGGATGGAAAGAGTGCACAGTATATGACTTTAGGTGATGCTGTATTAAGTAAACTTATAGCTAATGAAACATTAGGATATTTTATGGGTAGAATTTATTTATTTTTAATTAAAGTTGGAATTGATCCAAAAAAATTACGTTTTCGTCAACATATGGGAAATGAAATGGCTCATTATGCATGTGACTGTTGGGATGCTGAATGTCTAACTTCTTATGGTTGGATAGAATGTGTTGGCTGTGCAGATCGTTCTGCTTATGATCTTACGCAACATACAAAAGCTACTGGAATAAAATTAGTAGCAGAAAAAAAATTGCCAGCACCAAAAAATGTTGATGTATGTGAAATAGTACCAAATAAAGTTATGATTGGAAAAATATTTAAAAAAGATAGTAAATTAGTACAAGATGCTTTAGCAGCATTAACTGAGAGTAATATTAATGCTATAGAAACTGAAATAAATGAAAATGGAGAAACTGAATTAAAACTTTCAAATGATTCTACAGTAAAAATTACGAAAAATATGATCGAAGTAAAACGATATCAAAAAACTGTACATGTAGAAGAAATAATTCCTTCTGTAATTGAACCATCTTTTGGCATTGGCCGTATTATGTATGCTATTTTTGAACATAACTTTAAAGCAAGAGAAGGAGACGAAAAACGAACTTATTTTAGTTTACCACCAGTTGTGGCTCCTTTAAAATGTTCGGTATTACCGCTTAGCGGTAATAACGAATTTGTACCATTTGTAAAACAATTGTGTATGTATAATGATTTTTTAAATTTGTTGAGCTTTTTAAAAATTGAAATTTATAATATATTTTAAATATTGCTTACTATGTATAGCTCAGAATCTTACAAAAATAGAT